ATCTCGCCGCAGGATACAGTTCGTCATTATAACAATGATGCATGAGTTTCTGAAAGAAGCACTCGGAACCTGTTTTTAATCGAAGCAACTTTGATCTCAATTGGAACCTCCTTTTCCAGTAGCAATATATGATAATTGTTTTTTTACCCTTTTATCTGGCAACAAAACTGACACCTGTAAATGCTTACCCCTAGCTCTCATACTCTGATGGGTGCATTGTCTTTGAGTTGTGCGCCTTTTGGCGTCATCTAGTCCAATACCATGTGAGACTAGACTCTAAGAAAAGCTGTCTCGGGTGTGGACCAATCAATTTCAAGGACAGTGCATACATTACCAGAGTTGTGTTTTTTGTTTGCATTCCGACCGCAGGTATTGTGGTCAATGCAAACATGACTCCTTGTAAAAAAAAGGTGTCAGTTTTGTTGCCAGATAAAAGGGTAAAAACACAATTATCAACTTTAATCTCACTTACTCTAACATCAAATTCTTATCAACAGGAATTAATATCAACGACAGTACCCATGCAAAAATACGTACTCATCAATCCGTATGAAATGACAAAAAACAAGAATTGGCTAATATGCACGATAACGTGATTAAAAAAAACGTAGCCAAACCCTAAAATAGCAATATTCGTATGGAATGTGTGTCCATAAAAGAAATATGCATATCAAATGGTCAGAAGCATCAACAATCGGATCTCACGACCACGTTATCAAAGAATACTTACAGGCTAACCCACAACAACAGTATCAATGTCAGCATACGTGTTCAAAAAAATGTATCCGTATCAAATGTTTAGAAGTCATCAACGATCAGATTTGCAAGATTATACGATTGAAAGCAAACAGCTACTATCTAAAAATCATAGTATTCACGCAGGCATATGGCTTAATAAATTGAATGCTTATCAAATTGTTATAAAACATCAACGATCAAATTAGCAAGATTATGCGATTAAAAGGAAAATAATAAATACTATCTAAAAATCATAGTATTCACGCAGGCATATGGCTTCATAAATGGAATGCTTGTCAAAGGGTTATAAAACATCAACGATCGAATTAGCAAGATTATGCGATTAAAAGGAAAACAAACAGCTTCTATCTAAAAATGATCGTATTCATCCCGATACTTTGGAGTTTTGTATCAGGGTGGCAATCATGACACTCGCTCTACACCACTCATGATGTGTGGTGCCCGTGGGAGTCAGCGTTTGGCAGAGGTCGCAACCGGGTACCCGATACCCGTACCCTACCCGATACCCGGCTACCCGTACCCGGCCGGGTACGGGTACCCGTTTGCGACCCTGGTGCGGCCGGGTACGGGTACGGGTAGGCCGTGAGTCACTGGTGAGTAACTGTCTTACATTTCCCAACGTCTTGTCTCTTCTCACAATTCAAGTTCCTAGAATCAACCCACCCGCGCCTGCAACATGGCTTCATCCCAGAGGTCGCAATCAGCTACCCGATACCCGTACCCTACCCGTTTGCGACCCTGGTGCGGCCGGGTACGGGTAAGGAATCAAAACCGTTTGCGACCTCTGGCGTTCGACCTTCTGTCTTCTCCGTATCCGAAAACACCCCAAGTCCCACCAGGGAGCGCTGCTGCTGCTGCGTCCTGCGAACACGCGGCTCGCTGGACACTCAAAGAGCTGTCCACCCGTCAGGCTTGATCCACCGCTGCAGTTGGCTCGCGACTCTCCAGCCAGGTGAAGAAGAAGAATAACTGCTGCTCTAGCTACTTGGGAAGCCCTTCAGCCTGTGCTTGGTTTGTTGCCAATGATCGGAGAGTATTTTAGCGGCGCGTGCGTGTGTGTTTCATTGAACGTGCGGGTGATACACACTCGTGCTGTATTACTCCGGATCAAGGCCGTAATTGTACACATCCCACCCCCCCCCCAATATTCAAATATGCTCAAAATGTCCCCCCCCCCAATATTATGATATATAAAAAAAAAATGTTATGCTATGTAAATAATTATTATGCTTTGTAAATAAAAACAATAATTTGCTAAACCTTGGCCACAATATCTGGACTTGTCTTTAAAACAATCAATGCATAGATTTCTGTTTATATGATTGTGGTTATGGTTGCACTTTATTAATCGCTAATCTCTGCCATTACATACAATGAAACAAGAAATGGTAAAAAAGTAAAAACAGAGCAATGTAATACAATACACTATTAGACATTATTGTGAAAAATAAATAATAAGTCCATCCCATGTGTTAGTGAATTTTTTTTATATTTTAGGCAGGAAATTAGTTTTAAAATTTAGATTTTTTTTCTGGGTTGGGACCCCCAGAAACCCTTAAAGATTTGCCCCCCCCCCCCCCCCCAATGTTGTTGACTCCATGGCTACGGCCTTGCTCCGGATTATAAGACGCTTCGGAAAGTAAGACGCACTCCCCCCCCCCCCAAAACTTACCGCACCCCCCCCCCCCCCCAACAAGTCGATTTAAAATAAACAGTTTGGAAATGGAGATTAGAGACCGTCTTCTTGTATAAGATGATTGCGACCAGCCGGTGGTGTTGTCTCCTGACCTCTGGCTGGAGGTCATGTATCACCGTGGAGAGAGTTTTCTCAAACAGATTATATTGAGAAAACACACCTCCTGGAAAACGCATTGCATTCTCGCACAACAACTTCTGCTTTAAAATGCACTTGCAGAGAGGGAGAGGCTTGCGTGTCTATTGTATTCTGAAAAATGCGGTTATAGCTGTTTCGTGAAATAGCCCTCTGCCACCCCGGGATAGATGGAGTATGTAAATACAGTGTAATGATGCCATACCACACGCATGACGGGACAAAGGCCAGGTTCAGACACATCGCTTTAACAGACTGTTGGGGCCAAGTGCTGTTAGCTAGCGGCAGCAGCAGCAGCGCCTATGCAGGCCGACACGGCACACGATGGGGTCGGTGGCCAGCACCAATGTTTACACACCGCATCAGGAATTCATTTTGAGGCTGAGTCGACCTAGGGAGAGGCCCAGGACCGGTTCAGATCATCGTTACCGGTGTTGGCCGTGAGCGGGAATCGAACCCGGGTCGCCAGGTTCGGAGTGCAAGCTGCACTACCGCGACAATTATCATTCGAGGCAGCGTGCCCTTTGCCTCCGGGTGCGTGGTCACGTGCGCACCCCGGCGACCCGAGATCAATTCCCATTCAAGAGTCAACTTGGGCCATGAATATCCGGACCGGTCCCCTAGGTCCACTCGTCCTGACACGAGTGGCGTGCGGAGCTTTGGGCCACGCAGCTGTCTGCGTGCGTCGTGCCGGCCTTCATTGGTGACACTTACCGACGCAAAGCCCCGGCAATGTCTACATGACAGTCTAGATTTGAAGCTTTCGTGACTGCAAGGATTCATACTCTTAGTTCTTTCGATAAAGTCACGTAGGTAACAAAAATGAAATTAAAATTAATAAAATAATAAAATCACGACGTTTCGGAGGCAACACATAAAATAATAAAATCACGACGTTTCGGAGGCAACACAAATTGTGTTATTTGTATTTTTATTAATTTCAATTTATTTTTTTTACCTACGTGACTTTACCGAAAGAACTAAGAGTATGAGTATCTACATGACATTCTTTGTTACGTGCGCAAGCTCTGTGAAAAAAGCGAGGAGGCATGACCACATGTAGATTTCTCCACACTCTGCCTGGCAGAAGCCCCCCTCTTCCCACGCCTGAGCACTGCCTGGTCAGACTCTGGCAACGTACACAACACGCGCGTCGTCACGCTCACGCGAGCATATAGCCGTCCCGTAGCTTTCACCTTGCTGCATCTGGGGGCTTGTCGCAGTGAGGGTGGCACGACACGGCTCAATGTTAAACAAAACACTAGACAAGATGAATAGCAGATTCGATGTGTTTTTGTCATGCAGTGGGCTCTTTCTCAATAGTGGTCTATTGACTGAGTCTTTACTTTGTTTGTACGCGTTCAAGCCTCGCTGCTGATGAAACCCCGAATGTTGAATGCCAGTGCTTGCCCATAACCATCTGGGAGTTCACAAGGATTGAATCAAGCAAAAGCCCATCTGCTGCCGAGACAATAAATGTCAATCCAGAATGTGCTCTCGTATTAAACCAATGCTCCTAAAATACATCACTCCCAGAAGGCCATTTGGCCGGTGGGATGTGTAAAAAAGAATACGTTAATATGATGATTATTTTGATGTGCAGAGACATGTAAAGGAGACGTCTTGTTTTGTATTTATTGTGCTACATACTTGGATGAGCGACTGTAGAATAGTGTTCTCCGTGTTCTCTTTTTTTAGGTTTTAGTGACTCTTATTCGATGTTACATCACAATAAAAAAAAAACTAACATGGAAATGAAAAGCATGACAAATGTTATTGATATTTAAAGTTCATGATTGGCTCAAAAGTCACCAGCATATAGTAAGGTGTGTGGGTGGATGAGTGGGCTCACACTATCGCCAGGACTTTACTAAAATCCGTATTTCGCTTTGAGTTCTTACACCAACGCAATGTATGCTCATCTTCTTGTTTCTTTCGGTAAAGTCACGTAGAAGGGAAATAATAAAATAATAATAATAATAAAACATAATAAAATACAATTCTCACGACGTTATTTCGGCAAAGTGACTGCAGGGATTCATCTTCTTGGTTCTTTCGGTAAAGTCAGGTAGAAGGGAAATAATAAAATAATAATAATAATAAAACATAATAAAATACAATTCTCACGACGTTATTTCGGCAAAGTGACTGCAGGGATTCATCTTCTTGGTTCTTTCGGTAAAGTCACGTAGAAGGGAAATAATAAAATAATAAAGATAAAACATTATAAAATACAATTCTCACGACGTTATTTCGGCAAAGTGACTGCAGGGATTCATCTTCTTGGTTATTTCGGTAAAGTCAAGTAGAAGGGAAATAATAAAATAATAAAAATCAAACATAATAAAATATGGATGAGCGACTTTATTTTTATTATTTTATTATTTCCCTTCTACGTGACTTTACCGAAAGAACCAAGAAGATGAATCCCTGCAGTCACGAACGCTTTAAATCGAAATGCAATGTATGCTGCTATGGCATCGTCCTTGCTTTTGCCTTTCTTGGCGTTCCACGCATTCCACTTGGCTTTTCCTTTAAAGTCGAGCATGCCTGGAGCGTCGGTCGCGTTGTCCCCCACCATGACTTGCTTGAAACGGGGCGTACACTTCCAGCATCTCGTTAGTCTGAAGGTTTGGTCTTCAGATTCTTGACATCGGCGAGCAGCTTGGTCAAACGTCTCCTCGCCCCGCCTCTAACTCGACCTCTATAAACCCAACGCCGAGCTCCAGCTGACACCGACATAACCGAACACCCGTGTTCTCAAGTTTGTTCCTGAGACTCGGTTTCACTCTTTCTGCCGGAAAGGCCCCACGTTGAGCTGAACAACTCGTTTCTAAAAGACCACCGCAGCCCGAGACTGTCGGCTGTGGCAGGTTACAGGACGTTGCATGTTGGGAAAGTGCAAACAAAAAAAGCAAAAACTGATTTATTTAAAGAAAACACGCGTCAACACTTACTGCAAAACGGGATAAAGAATAACGTGCTTAATAACAAAATACAAAACAATTGTGTCGACAACCTCGTCACAGGTGAATATAAATAAATCATACATACGACACCAGACCGCGCAGCTTGTTGAAATCTTTCACAAATTATGGCAGAGGCGACTGTGCAGCGTGGCCTCAAGTTAGATTGGCTCTGGAATCAGACCGAGTTCTCGACCAAGGAATGATCGACAGACAATCGGAGGTCCGTCGTGAAGATTCCTTGGATTTTTTAATGGATGGAGAATGTCAATTAAAAATACTGAGCTCATTTGGATGTAAGAAGTATGCCAACGAAGATCGCCCGGTGGAGAGCTCTCCGTAATTCTAGTGACGTTAGGTCAACGTTAGGTCAACGTTAGGTCAACGTCAAAGTCATGCTCAGAGTGATGAGTTTTGCAAGTAATAGAATTGGCTGGACCGCAGGACCCTCCTGAAAAAAAGATTCTTGGAAATGCAATCATTTACACCATTGGAACCTCCTTTGCCAGTAGCAAAATATGATAAGGTGTCAGTTTTGATGCCAGATAAAAGGGTAAAAAAACAATTATCAGGACCCATCATGTTCACACATTTTTGGTCAGTGAATATTACGAGTCATCATTAAGACTATTAAACAAAACAAACATTTACCAAATAAGGCCCACTGAGCTATATAGCTTGTTTTCAGAAGCAATCTGGCCACAAATGATAGCTCAACCAGTGGCTTATCATCGTGTAGAAGTTTACTGCGTGTTTCTAATTATGGAGAGGAAAAACCGGAGAACCCGGAGAAAAATCCACGAGATCACGGGGAGAAAAACACGCAAACTCCAAATATACAGCAGGCGTCAGGGGGTCTGGATCGAACCCACGACCTCCTGTATACCAGGTGAGGTAGTTAACATCTCACCACTGTGGTACCACAATGAAAAGAGGATTAACGAACTCATGATGATGGATAGTACATTGGTCAGGACCCATAGCTTACACAGAGGGCCCTTGCCTCGATCAACTTCTGGCAGTTTGCATGCTCCCCAATCAGTTCCAATCCCAGTCCGTGGTCACCGCAGCCACCGTCATCCTTTCGGGCCAATACAATGCCAACCAATTTGTGACAATTTAACACGCAGTAGGCTTTCGCGACCAATACCATCCATTATAGAGGTATTTTTTGGGTTAGATCGCGTAAATATCTAAATGTGTCGTTAAACCCGCCACCACCCGACACAGCCAATTAGTAAGTTGATTGGTAAGGTGTGGCGGGTGGTGGCGGGTTTAACGAAACATTTATATATTTACGCGATCGAACCCGAAAAAAAAATCTGTATTATGAATTTGTGGCAAGTCGTTGGCGGTTGTCGTAAAGGGAACACATCCCCCGCCCCCGCCAGAGGAATGTGGATTTTCCACCAATGGTTCTGGGATGTAGCTCAACAATTGGCATGTGCGTACGGGCATTCTCTACGCAGCAATACAATACGAGCGAACGATAGGAATATATACATTCGGTACTGTGCACAACACTGGAAACAACATAAACTACATAGTCATTTATTGGGCGTTAGCATTCACATTAAAGGGTGATTGTTTATTCACGATGTTCACTTTCTTTTTTTATTTGAACTGAAAATAAGTTCGGAGTCTTTTTCTTTATCACATAACGCGTAGAAAACTTTTTTTTCTAGAAATATATAAAACGTATACGCAAATCCTCTATATAAAATGAATTTATAACACAGTAAATGATGTACATTTGAAAAATTCTATCCAGTCGGAGACAGTTACAATCAACAATGAGCCACACATACTCTTTGGTTCCTTCGGCAAAGTCACGTAGGTAGAAAAATAATAGATCACGACGTTTCGATCGCAACACAAGCAACCGTCATCAGGTGGGACAACCACAGCAAGCAAAAAACTGCTGCAGTAGGCGAGAGATCTGCCGTGGCACGAGGTTATATAGGCCTCGGCAGTAGGGGGGGGGGGGAGTGAGGAGGTGGGGGGGAGAGAGGGGGTCGGGGAAGAGAGGAGGGGGGGGGAGAGAGGGGGTAGGGGGAGAGAGGGGGTGGGGGGGTGGGGTGGGAGATAGGAGGGGGGGAGTGAGGAGGTGGGGGGGGGAGAGAGGGGGTGGGGGGTGGGGGGGAGAGAGGAGGTGGGTGGAGAGAGGGGGTGGGGGAGAGAGGAGGTGGGGGGGAGATAGGAGGTGGGGGGGGAGAGGGGGTGGGAGAGAGAGGGGGTGGGGGGGGGAGAGGGTGGGGGGAGAGAGGGGGTGGGGGGAGAGAGGGGGTGGGGGGGAGAGAGGAGGTGGGGGAGAGAGGAGGTGGGGGGAGAGAGGGGGTGGGGGAGAGAGAGGGGGTGGGGGGAGAGATGGTGTGGGGGGAGAGAGGGGGTGGGGGAGAGAGGAGGTGGGGGGAGAGAGGAGGTGGGGGGGAGAGAGGAGGTGGGGGGAGAGAGGGGGTGGGGGGGAGAGAGGAGGTGGGGAGGGGAGAGGGGGTGGGGGGGGTGTGGGGGGAGAGAGGAGTACCCGGCCGGGTACGGGTACAGGTAGGCCGTGAGTCACCGGTGAGTAACCGTTTGTCACTCATTTTGGGTAGGGTACGGGTAGCGTACGGGTACCCGTACCCGGCCGGGTACGGGTACCCGGCCGGGTACGGGTACCCATTTGCGACCCTGGTGCGGCCGGGTACGGGTAAGGAATCAAAACCCGTTTGCGACCTCTGCCATCCACCCAGCGTTACGAACGGGTTGGCCACGGTCATTCGATGGCCAAATCGTGTACGGTGCACTCCAACGTGGGTACCACCACCACCACCACCTCTTCCAGAGACGCCTGGCCAGTGTGGAAGAGCAGGCCAAAAAAATACCGTCCAGAAAGAGGGGGGAACTCAAAGAAAGCCCTCTGGCGAAAGGCCCCTTTCCTCCAGCAAGTGGCGTAAGCGAGCAATTGCAGGGCTGAGCCTTTACCTTTATTATGAACCGCTGAAGCCGAGTTGCTTGCCCTCCTCAGTGGAGCGCTGGCAGTGGTTCAACACTGCTCAGTGAGTGGTGGTTCGAGTAGAAACTCGCATTTGTCATGTGTTTGGTGATAAACCGTTCGGTCTCCTCCGATGGTCAATTTGGTTCTTTGATCATTCTGTCTTCCCTCGCTTGCGTTGACGGATTGGCTCAGCGCAGCGCGAGACGTCCTTAGAGTGCACTGCGCACAACACAGACCAGTAATGAGTGACTCTGGTTAAGTTTCACATTTTTGCAACGCCCACCAAATTCCGTAGATTCGGAGGCGTGAGAAACCACGGAGCAGAATCAGAATAAAATTTCGATTTAAAGCTTTCGTGACTGCAGGGATTCATCTTCTTGGTTCCTTCGGTAAAGTCACGTAGAATGGAAATAATAAAATAATAAAAATAAAACATTATAAAATAATTCTCACGACGTTTTGGCCACAGCGCAAGCCGAAACGTCGTGAGAATTATTCTATTATGTTTAATTTTTATTATTTTATTATTTCCATTCTACGTGACTTTACCGAAAGAACCAAGAAGACAGAATCATAATCTTTATTCAACCGAGAGAAAATCCAATGAGCTGTGGATCTCTTTTTTGACAGATGTCCAATAAGGGTGGGTCACACAGTTACAACAACAAACAATACGAAAAACGATCGGTGCGCAAAGTATAGAAAAGCTAAGCAAATCACTAAGCGTAAAGTGTATAAGCTAAACTCACACAAGTACATCAATACTCAAGCTTGGGCAAGGCAGCAAAACAACAGCAAACACAGTCCCAGACCACACCAACACAACGGACACAGTCCCTCAACAAAAGACGGTCCGAACCAACAATTCCCCAATCGCTGTGGTCCTGTGTTGGGCTTGTATCAACCGTACATTACTCCGCGCGGTCCGCTTCGCAGAGGTAAAAGTTCCTGCAGCATCATTATAACCGGGCAGGCCATTGGCGTCGATAAAAAAAACACGTGTCAGTGACCTTTCTTCCCACAAAAGTCATGACGCCCAGTTGAGCAGTCCCTGGGTAAATAATTGTAATAATAATCGTCATGGCTTGGCTTCGTGAACGAAGATCTAGGAAGGACATCCACGTCTTCAGCAGGCACGCTGGTGGCTGACGAGGCCTATGCGGGACAAGCAGGTCCTGCCACAACGGCTGCAAGTATAGGTCTCATCTGGGATGGGTGCTGAGGGATCATGGTTCTTCCTCCTTCTCCTTTTGTCCTCCATACGGGCCCTGCGGGTATCTTCGAAGAAGGAGGTGGCCGGGTGGACTGTGTGCCGCCAGGAGTTGCGATCAGCTGCTTGTGTTGCCCACTGATGGTGATCGATGCAGCAAGCAGTGAGGGATTTTTCAGGGAATCTTCTTTGTATCGCTTTCGTGGTGCCCCTATGTCACGATGGCCAGAGGACAGTTCCCCATACAGCACAATCTTAGGTAAGCGGTGGTTCTCCATCCTGGCGATGTGCCCTGCCCAACGAAGCTGTATCTTGAGGACCATGGCCTCGATGCTGATGACCTCCGCTGACTCGAGGACTTCAGTGTTGGCGACGAAGTCACTCCAGTGAATATTGAAGATTGTGCGTAGGCAGCGCTGATGGAAACGCCAGAGGAGACTCAGGTGATGACGGTACGTGACCCAGGACTCAGCGCCATACAGGAGAGTGGTCAGCACAACAGCTTTGTAGATGTTGTAATAATAATGATGATGATGATGGAATAACACGTCGTACGTACCCACAGTTTGGAGACGATGCCGATCAGCAAGACATTGAACAAGAGGCTGGCGACCAGTGTCCCCGTCTGGGCGTGAATTCCCACCGAGGATTTGCTTTCTGAAGATGATGCTTCATTCCCTGCAAGACGGACGACAATATAATTTATTATCTTCAGTGGGGGAGGGGAGAGGGTGTTGGTACTCACACTTTACCCCACCTATTGCATTTGAATCACCCACCCTGTCGGAGGGCACCCCTCTGAGTGGGGGCTACCGGCCAATGTCGTTCAATGTCGTTCTCCCACATTCCTAGACTTTGTGCAAGCACTGGTAAGCTCCCCCCCCCTTCCCTTCGCACGGTTTTTCTGTCCCCCCCCCCCCCCTTTTCCCAAGGAGAAATCCCCGGCGCATTTGTGCAAAAGTGAACGACGCGATTGCCGCGGGACCTCGTATCGTAACGGTCATTTGCATCGCAGCAGAGGCAGCGGCAGATGTGATGTGCCTGACGCGGGTGAGCAGGCGATACCCAGAACGGTTTCCTCCTCGTGCACCGCGAATTTTCGGTGAATCAATGGTGCTGAACTGCCGATCAAAGAATGGGGGGTGGGGGGGGGTCCCCGATTAGTTCCTCAGTTTAAAAGGTGAAGGTGCATTCCTGCAATGTTCTTGCTCATGCCACTGCCGGAGGAAGGGCCTCCGCAAGAAAGAGCTCTCGAGGTGTATTTGGCCTACTCTTCCAGGCTGCCCAGACATCGTGGAGGAGGTGGGCGTACCGACATTTTATCCCAACACACGCGACTTACTGGACATCCGTGACAAAATTGCTTTATAGCGCATCGAAATCCTCCAGTATAAATAAATGTCCCGATTCTGATATACGACCTAATAAATGTTATTCTTGAAAACTGAAATTCACCCAATTTGAGTGTAGAACTAAAGTTAGTGGGGTTTCTTTTTTAAATCCTTTATATTAAGTTCGCTTGCTTGCTTGCTTGCGTGCTTGCTTGCTTACGACCGTGCAAATCTTTCGGTCGTTTTTTAACCCACTTCCCGTGATCAAATCGAGCTGACATTTTGCACACAGACTCGTTGTGCGAGACAATTAATGTTCGTGAAAATTTTTTACCTAAATTTTACACTGTTTAGGGAAAACAAGTAAAATATTTAATTACCAATTGCTTAATACTGGCAGACAATCATCTGACCCGTAGGTGGCAGCCATCTCAAGCCAGAGGACAAGAGGACTCTAGTCGCCACGCATATAAAGGATTTATATTGAAAAACTTTGTTTTTACGGGTTATACTTATTAAATCCTTTATATTAAGTTCGCTTGCTTGCTTGCTTAGGACCGTGCAAATCTTTCGGTCGTTTTTTAACCCACTTCCCGTGGTCCAATCGAGCTGACATTTTGCACACAGACTCGTTGTGCGTGACAATGAATTTTCGTGAAATTTTTTTTCCAAAATGTTACACAGTTTAGGGAAAAATCATTAAATATTTATTTACCAATTGGTTAATGCTGGCACACAATCATCTGACCCATAGGTGGCAGCCATCTCAAGCCAGAGGACGAGAATACTCTAGCCGCCCCGATGCCACGCATATAAAGGATTTATAGTGAAAAACTTTGTTTTTACGGGTTAATTTTTGTTTTCGTGCAGTCATCGGCGACTGGGCTGAGGCCATCAATCGACTCGCTAAAATTCGAGTCTCGTTTAATTTCAGCGGTGCCAGATCAGTGGTGACGTCAGATAGACCTGGCCTCCTTGCAAATGTCAGCACAGAGCAGCGGCTCCCATATTCCTTTGGCCCCGCTGGGGCTCCCCAGCCGATGCAAACATTACCGCGGGTCGCCCAACTTCCCACCCCCTGGTGAGAAAACGCAACCGCTTATCTCTGTAAATTCCGGCAAGTAAAAAATTATGTATATTATGCACATCAAAACTCTATTAAGGCAAATTTCGATTTAAAGCTTTCGTGACTGCAGGGATTCATCTTCTTGGTTCTTTCAGTAAAGTCACGTAGAAGGGAAATAATAAAATAATAAAAATAAAACATAATAAAATAATTATCACGACGTTTCGGCCACAACGCAAGCAGCCGTCCTCAGGTGAAGACCAGGTATGTCATTCAGACGCTGTCTCCCCGACAGACCTGGTCTTCACCTGAGGACGGCTGCTTGCGTTGTGGCCGAAACGTCGTGAGAATTATTTTATTGTTTTATTTTTATTGTTTTATGATTTCCCTTCTATTAAAGCAGCCGTTTGTTTAGGAGGGGATGGGAGGCATTTAGATGTTAGGGGTAGGGTAGTTTCATCAGGGTAGTTTACGTAACTTAATTTTAACTTTCTTTTACCATTTTTATTTTGTGATGTCTCCCTTGCATTTGTGGATGGGGCATTGCGTTGTTAAGGTCTCTGTTCTGGATGACCACAATCGCAACACTACTGGAGAGGTTTAAATTTTCCATTTGTACATCAGGTATCACCCGCATCTGCTTCCATGGTTTGTACGGATAGGTGACGTTTTAGGTAATGGCTTCTAAACGCATAAATCACTCTAAACTATGAAAAACAGTTTTTTTTTATTTTACCAGGCAAGGCCCAATGAGCTATGAATATATATATATATTTTTCACAAGCAACCTGGCTATCACAAATAATAGCTCAACGAAAGTGACTCATTTACGTGAACATTTTTTTTGCAGAGAAACACTCTAAAACGCACGATTCTAAAATGCGGAGGGAAAACCCCCGTCATGAGGGTAAAACATTGATTGGTGTCTGAACCTAGTTTACACAACAAAGGCTCATTCCTAACAGCGTGCTTCAGCCGCACCGAACCTCACAATAATAATATCCAGGGGCCTACCTTGGCTCCTCCCACCCTCAACCAGTATATATACACAAGGATTGTTTTCTTGGAATTTCTCTCACTTGATACAGCTATCGTGCTGTGACGGTTCCACCTGAAGACGGAAGCTTGTGTTGCCTCCGAAACGTCGTGATTTTTATTTTATTTTTATTTAACTTTTATAATTTATAAATTTTTACCTACGTGACTTTACCGAAAAAAACCTAAGAATATAAATCCTTGCAGTCACGAAAGCTTCAAATCTAGAATTCAAATCTAGAATGAAACAAAAGGGTTTAATAAACGTCGTCATCGTTGTCGGGATCAAGCTGCGTTTGCATCGCAGCCTCCGCCGACCTCACTGGAGGACCGTCGCGGACACCCTGGGGATCACACTCTTGAGAACCACCGGTCCACAGAGATGCGCTCGGTGGAATAAACTGAAGAGCAGATAGAGCTCCCCGGAGCCTGCACACGAGCACAGGCAATACTGCTGGCGATGGCGTAACGTAACAGGGTCGCCATGCGCGGAAGTCATGCAGACCGCATTTTGAACCTTTCATGGAATGTGACAACTTCCCTTTTAGTAAAACAAAAACAATACCCCCCAGTGCGTTTTCACATATGTAACCTTGGGGTTTTCAGTTTCCCCAGTGGAGTTTATAAGAAGGAGCGGTTTTAGGTAATTCCCCGGTTATTACAAAGAATCCATGTATCTACGTACGTGTGTACGCATGTTGAACTTCTTTCGAACCGTACTTAGCCAACCGTGAAAATCGGAGGTGTGGGGGAGAGGACTGAAGGTGCACGTACTCTGGATGAATACACGTGTAGTGGTGTTAACTACTCGCTGTTCACAAACTGTGAGAGCAGATCGTAAACAAGGTTTTTCCGCTCAAACAAACGGTCAGGGTCAAATGGGGTGAGGTAGGATCCAAACGCTAGATTGGGAAGGACCAATCAGTGGGTCCCACAAGGTGGCCGGGGATTGGACAACCCGGCCACGAACAGGTATAAAAGCCGGAGCGCTGAGAGCTCTTGGCGAGTTCTGCTACACGAAGACCCAAGTCGGCCGAAGACATCTAGGACCCTGGACCAAGCCTTCCAGCCCTTATCAGGGCTAGGGCTCAGAGTAACCAGTGGTCGGGGAGAGATCCCCTAGGTCCAGCCAGAGAACGCTGGGATAGCAGGGAGATTAGATAGCCTGCAAGGTCCGGAGGCTGTACCTTCTGAAGGTAACGGGTGAGGGGACCATATTACCCTTAGTGTGATAGGGACTGTGTATTAAGATAATAAACAGTGTGTGCCATAAAGACGTTTAGGAGTCCGTCCTTTACAACACTACACATGCACGCCTACTTCCCTTTGGCCAATGCAGCTGGATGAGGGCCTCCCTGTGCCATGCGGGTCATAGTGAGGCGCCTGGGTGAAAGGTAATTTGTACATATTTAACCTCTCTCTCTTTCATGACCATACATCACCACAATGGTCCACGTGGGTTTGGCGAAGGAGGAGAGCAGACGCGTGCGTGCGGAGAAGTATGGTACGAACCTATAGCCCACATGTTCAACCTGTCCATCAAAAAAGCATCAGTAACCTCTAGAATGGAAACATTCCTATGTTCATATTCTTGGTTATTTCTGTAAAGTCACGTAGAAGGGAAATAATATAATAATATATATAAAGCAGTAACATTTTATTGTTTTAAATTTTTATTATTATTTATTATTACTTTATTATTTCTCTTCTACGTGACTTTACCGAAAGAACCAAGAATATGAATCCCTGCAGTCACGAAAGCTTTAAATCAACATTCCTATGTTCGTCCACTTCACAAAGGGGGCCCTAAAGATGATCCAAATAACTACCGGCCTATCTCACTTTTGTCCTCGTTGATGAAATTTTTAAAAAAATTCTTGAACTACCAAATTAGCAGTTTTCTGTCCGACAACAATCTATTACATCGAAAACAATCTGGGTTCCGGAAAAAATAACAGCACCACATCTGCTGCATTCGACTCTCTGAATCACATTTACAGTAGCCTTGATAATAAGAAGTACTGCGCCAGTCTTTTTTCTTGACTTGTCCAAAGCCTTTGATACAGTCAACCACAACACCCTGCCTCCGTTTCTCCAAACACGCAGTAGAATGGTTAAAAATGTCCCTCTCTTCTCGCACCCAAACTGTATTCATAGATGGTTGGAGGTCAAACAGTGTTAAGATAACAAAAGGGGTCCCACAGGGTTCCATCCTCGGCCCCCTCTTGTTCTCTCTTCATGTCAAT